TATCTTGACGGAATCTTCCACAGTTGAAATCCGCTCTTCTGCTAATTGGAGTCTCTGCTCATTTTGTTCCACAACAATTGTGAGTTTATCAGTAATTTTTTTTAGCTTGTCGTCCATTAATGTAGAAATTACTTCAGTTAATTCCGCAATCAAGACAGCGTTGTCAGCCCTCGCTGTACCCATGCTTTGTTCCTGAAGCGACACGGTAACTTTTCCTTTCAGCTTTTTCTTCTCTCCTCTCGTGATATTAGGAGCGTCCATACGCTATATTGTTATTTTAGACTATATTTCCACTATAAGTGCCAACTAAGTATCATTAAAGCGCAGTTTTTATTCTACAGACGAGCAGGTGCGTCAGGAGTGTTCACCTAATCCGCCATCTTGTTTTTCCAGTTTAACCTGTTTATCTGCTTGCCTGTACATACATGTTTAATCAATAAGTTCTAAACTGAATCAATTCAGAACAGGTCAATGCATTAAGCGGCATTTTCTTAATGGTTTTCTATGGGGAACTCTTAACATTAAATTTAGTGAGTGTGTTTATATTCTAGGCATTTCTGCTTGCCTGTATACAGGTCCTTCTCAAAAAATTAGCATATTGTGATAAAGTTCATTATTTTCCATAATGTAATGATAAAAATTAAACTTTCATATATTTTAGATTCATTGCACACCAACTGAAATATTTCAGGTCTTTTATTGTTTTAATACTGATGATTTTGGCATACAGCTCATGAAAACCCAAAATTCCTATCTCAAAAAATTAGCATATTTCATCCGACCAATAAAATAAGTGTTTTTAATACATAAAAAGTCAACCTTCAAATAATTATGTTCAGTTATGCACTCAATAGTCAATACTTGGTCGGGAATTCTTTTGCAGAAATGACTGCTTCAATGCGGCGTGGCATGGAGGCAATCAGCCTGTGGCACTGCTGAGGTGTTATGGAGGCCCAGGATGCTTCGATAGCGGCCTTAAGCTCATCCAGAGTGTTGGGTCTTCCGTCTCTCAACTTTCTCTTCACAATATCCCACAGATTCTCTATGGGGTTCAGGTCAGGAGAGTTGGCAGGCCAATTGAGCACAGTAATACCATGGTCAGTAAACCATTTACCAGTGGTTTTGGCACTGTGAGCAGGTGCCAGGTCGTGCTGAAAAATGAAATCTTCATCTCCATAAAGCTTTTCAGCAGATGGAAGCATGAAGTGCTCCAAAATCTCCTGATTGACCCTGCTCTTGATAAAACACAGTGCACCAACACCAGCAGCTGACATGGCACCCCAGACCATCACTGACTGTGGGTACTTGACACTGGACTTCAGGCATTTTGGCATTTCCTTCTCCCCAGTCTTCCTCCAGACTCTGGCACCTTGATTTCCGAATGACATGCAAAACTGAGCAACAGTCCAGTGCTGCTTCTCTGTAGCCCAGGTCAGGCGCTTCTGCCGCTGTCTCTGGTTCAAAAGTGGCTTGACCTGGGGAATGCGGCACCTGTAGCCCATTTCCTGCACACGCCTGTGCACGGTGGCTCTGGATGTTTCTACTCCAGACTCAGTCCACTGCTTCCGCAGGTCCCCCAAGGTCTGGAATCGGTCCTTCTCCACAATCTTCCTCAGGGTCTGGTCACCTCTTCTCGTTGTGCAGCGTTTTTTGCCACACTTTTTCCTTCCCACAGACTTCCCACTGAGGTGCCTTGATACAGCACTCTGGGAACAGCCTATTTGTTCAGAAATTTCTTTCTGTCTTACCCTCTTGCTTCGAGGGTGTCAATGATGGCCTTCTGGACAGCAGTCAGGTCGGCAGTCTTACCCATGATTGCGGTTTTGAGTAATGAAACAGGCTGGGAGTTTTTAAAAGCCTCAGGAATCTTTTGCAGGTGTTTAGAATTAATTAGTTGATTCAGATGATTAGGTTAATAGCTTGTTTTAGAGACCCTTTTCATGATATGCTAATTTTTTGAGACAGGAATTTTGGGTTTTCATGCGCTGTATGCCAAAATCATCAGTATTAAAACAATAAAAGACCTGAAATATTTCAGTTGGTGTGCAATGAATCTAAAATATATGAAAGTTTAATTTTTATCATTACATTATGAAAAATAATGAACTTTATCACAATATGCTAATTTTTTTGAGAAGGACCTGTATCATTTCTTTGATGTATGATGACGAGTTTTCTGCACTTACCTGAGACACCCGGTGAAGAAGTTTGCTTTACACATCCTGCATCTGTGGCTTCTGTGTAACTGAAATAGCAGATTTGCAGTTAGTTATGTTACTTTTTTCTTTTTCTTTTTTTAACTTTTCTCTTTTTTTACATTTGGCATACATTTGGCATTTGTTCAAATAAACTTGCATTCAAGGTATCACTTTTATGCATTCCCTGGGAATCAAACCTGAGACCTTGGCATTGCTACTGTTTGGGCTTTAGGAATGCTGTTGTATAAAACAGTTTTTTTTATTGTAATAATATTTCACAATATAAATATTTTTTATGTATTTTTGACCAAATAAATGCAGCCTTGAGGGGCAAGAGACTTCTTTTAAAAATCAAACTTATTCCAAACTTTTGACAAGTATTACAAACTAATCATGGTGTAATTAATCTAAAACCCAACCTTTTGCTTTACTGCTAAAATCATCTGAATTGAGTCAGATTCACGTTTTATGTCATCATTTTTTTTCCACTTTTTATATCAATTATGACATAGTAAGCCATAATTATGACTTTAAGATTATGATATTTAAGATTTACCAAAGCGTGATTTTTTTTTATTTTGTGGCGAAAATGATCTCCCATACATATAAGCACACACTTACTTTGAAATAAATAAACCCCTTTAATCAAAACCAGAGGTCTTTCTGCACCAAAATGTTCATTTTGACCTTAATTCTGGGTAACTGAAGGGTGAAACAAGAGGCAGAGGAACCACAGTGAACCTGAGTGAAAACAGATGATGCTGAAAACACTGAGCAAGCAGTTTTAATTAGTCGTTAAGCCTAAACTACATTTACTTGAGTACTGTACTTAAGTTCACTTTTTTAAGTATCTGTACTTTACTTGAGTATTGTTTTTTCTGGAAACTTTTTACTTTAACTTCTTTGAAAGACTACATTTGGAAAACAAATATCTTACTTTTTACTCGACTACATTTCTGTCAAAGTCCTTGAGTAGAAAGCCAGTCGGGGGATGAATTTTTTTTTTTTTATCTTTAAAACGTGATTGTTTTTTTGCAGAGGACAGACAGCCTATCAGTAATCACTCTTGTAGGGTCACGAGTCGTGAAGTTCAGCGATTTCCCATCGTTTCTTTGAACATTAATCAACTGATGGCAAAATGGATGAAGACAGATCCTCAGCACATGTGCGCGTATCCATGGCAAATATGTCTTTCTGTTTCGCTGTTTGTTAAAGCAGTGCTTCTGTCGGGCAGTTATACAGCTATGGTTGTGTATCTGAGTTTTAAAGAAGGATTTTTACAGACCACTTGATTCAAATGTGCATGAATGGATACACATAGATGTGTACTTTTGTTGGGGTGGTATGAGTGTTAAATAAAATAATGAAGATGATTATGGCTGTCTTTTTTTGTCATTTCGGTTGTTTAATTTCTATAGGTTTTGCAACATAAAAGCTCTTAATTCCACAGAGACTACAGGTGTATTCACTAGGTTGTAATGTATATGTAATGAATGAGTGATTATATAATCAAGGTATTAATCAATATTTCCTTCTAAATATTAAATGAGTTGAATGACTTCTCTAGGCTTGTGCGATTTTACTTTGTTATAGAAGTTACCAGTGTGATCACTGAAATGTTCTTCTCATGTCTTCTCTAATGTCTGTATTTGATATCTGAATGCAGTAACAGTGCTCGCTCATTTAGCTCGGCTTCCAGAAATGAAATAGGGACTTGTTTTGGTCTTCAACGTGTTAAAACATACAGGGGTCATTGAAGACAATAGTTTAAGGCACCATTTCTTTGTGAAAGCCTTACTTTCCAGTTAGACTGAAGTGTAGTTCTCCTTGAGAGAAAGAACGTGTTATCTTGATGTTTTGAGACGACTCTCCTGTTTATAGTCAGAGCCTGGCCAAATCCAACCTTGGAAAAGCTGTGTGTCGGTGTGTGTGTTAGTCTTTTTGGTTGCAGGTTAAGGAACCACTGGCATTATTGGAGATTGACTGAGTTGTTGTTCTGGAGAAGAAACCCACATCTGCGAGCTGGAAGATCACGACGAGCCTAACTTCAGGGTCCGAGTGTCCCCTGCATAATCGACGGAGATATGCTTCAGTCTATCTGCTTATGTGTGGAAAATTACTATATATATATATATTTCTTAGCCAATGAGAATCATTCAACCTGTAAGCAATGACGTAGCTTAGACCTTGGAAATGGTATAACTGCTGTGTGTGTGTGTGTGTGTGTGTGTGTGTGTGTGTGTGTGTGTGTGTGTGTGTGTGGTGAAGGGTATAACTGCTGCGTGTGTGTGTGTGTGTGGTGAAGGGTATAACTGCTGTGATCTTTGTAACTGTAAGCGGGGCGTCCTACGAACTCCTGTGACAGTCTTGAAGCTGAACTTCTGCTGATGAAACTGCAAACTATTCAGTAAATCTTTTCTTTAATTTATTATAATTCTGACTCCGGGGCTTCATTCAACATCTGGTTCTGGGTCTTTAAATGTTTACCCCTAACACAACAATAATACAACAATGCATTGACTTTTTCTTTTGTTACTTATAAGTACTTTTAAAAATGAGTACTTCTGTACTTTTACTCAAGTAAAAATCGGTCTTTACAACTTTTACTTGTAACAGTAATATTTGACCAGTAGTATCTGTACTTTCACTCAAGTAGGGAAGTTGTGTGCTTTGTCCTCCTCTATGTTTAGCTGATGTGTTTCTGCAGAATAACTTGTTACAGGTCAATATTCTTTGAAATGAGGAACGGAAAGTCCTGTGTTATTATACACTAATGCCCCGTTTACTGTCATTGCAGGAGCTGTTTCAAATGTGTTTTGGATTCTCTAGGAAGCAAGTAGCTGCAGTTATGATGGTCTTTAAGAGAACTGATAGTTCTGAAGAAATCCTGAAAATGGACATGGAATATGAACGGAAGACGACATTTAGCAAAGGTTTGCTATGATACTAAATTGTATTTGATACTGAAAGATGTGTTTGTGTTGTATATGAGAAAGAGTTTCAGTTAGTTGTACAACTATCTTCAATGCCTGCTTACACTTTATAATCTCTTTAAATTATTTTATACATTATGATGCTTAACAAAGAATGATTATAACATTTGATTCATTATTCAAATTTGAATGCATATTAACTATTGATCTGAACATTGAGTTTGTTAAAGACTACTGTGAACATTTTGAACAAAGATACGGATACCCTAATGGGACATGGTGATTGAAAAAATATGAGATGTGAAGGAAAAATATTTTAATGCTTTCGCGTTCCCCCGAAAAACTTTGCGTTTGCTCACAAAACCTTTGCATTCCTTCGCAAAAACGTTTGAGTTCCCCCGAGAAACTCAAAAGAACTCAAGGTTTGCAAGCGAATGCAAAGTTTCTCAGGGGAGCGCAAAACATTTGCAAGAGAACATAAAAGCATAGACTTATTATTTTTCTGTACAAAACTTCTTAAAATAGACAGATGAGAAAGAGTCCTTGAGGAACCAGACTCATCAGGCTTAAAGGCGTGGTTGATTATGATTTCACTTTTCTAACTTTAGTTAGTGTGTAATGTTGCTGGTTTAGCATAAACAACATCTGCAAAGTTACGACGCTCAAAGTTCAAAGCAATGGGAGATATTTTCGGTAACACTTTATTTCTATAGTCCACTTTAGACATTCTACTAACTATAAGTAACTTTGCAGCTACATGTGAACTAGCTGTCATTAAAGGATTAGTAGAATGTCTGCTTAATATCTGCTAAAACTTTATTTTGATGCTCCCCCAACATACATTCACCTGACTATAAGTAACTTGGCAACTACAAGTCAACTTATTCTCCTAACCCGAACCCTAACTCCTAACCCTAACCTAACAGTCTACTACAGTCTACTGAATTGAATTAAATTTTATTGTCGAGGATAACCCCTTGAGATGAAACATCTCGTTTTCGAGGGGGTCTTCGAGACAAAGACAAAGATAATACAGCACAAATACATTCACCTAAAGGATTATTAGGAACACCTGTTCAATTTCTCATTAATGCAATTATCTAATCAACCAATCACATGGCAGTTGCTTCAATGCATTTAGGGGTGTGGTCCTGGTCAAGATAATCTCCTGAACTCCAAACTGAATGTCAGAATGGGAAAGAAAGGTGATTTAAGCAATTTTGAGCGTGGCATGGTTGTTGGTGCCAGACGGGCCGGTCTGAGTATTTCACAATCTGCTCAGTTACTGGGATTTTCACGCACAACCATTTCTAGGGTTTACAAAGAATGGTGTGAAAAGGGAAAAACATCCAGTATGCGGCAGTCCTGTGGGCAAAAATGCCTTGTTGATGCTAGAGGTCAGAGGAGAATGGGCCGACTGATTCAAGCTGATAGAAGAGCAACTTTGACTGAAATAACCACTCGTTACAACCGAGGTATGCAGCAAAGCATTTGTGAAGCCACAACACGCACAACCTTGAGGCGGATGGGCTACAACAGCAGAAGACCCCACCGGGTACCACTCATCTCCACTACAAATAGGAAAAACAGGCTACAATTTGCAAGAGCTCACCAAAATTGGACAGTTGAAGACTGGAAAAATGTTGCCAGGTCTGATGAGTCTCGATTTCTGTTGAGAGATTCAGATGGTAGAGTCAGAATTTGGCGTAAACAGAATGAGAACATGGATCCATCATGCCTTGTTACCACTGTGCAGGCTGGTGGTGGTGGTGTAATGGTGTGGGGGATGTTTTCTTGGCACACTTTAGGCCCCTTAGTGCCAATTGGGCATCGTTTAAATGCCACGGCTACCTGAGCATTGTTTCTGACCATGTCCATCCCTTTATGGCCACCATGTACCCATCCTCTGATGGCTACTTCCAGCAGGATAATGCACCATGTCACAAAGCTCGAATCATTTCAAATTGGTTTCTTGAACATGACAATGAGTTCACTGTACTAAAATGGCCCCCACAGTCACCAGATCTCAACCCAATAGAGCATCTTTGGGATGTGGTGGAACGGGAGCTTCGTGCCCTGGATGTGCATCCCACAAATCTCCATCAACTGCAAGATGCTATCCTATCAATATGGGCCAACATTTCTAAAGAATGCTTTCAGCACCTTGTTGAATCAATGCCACGTAGAATTAAGGCAGTTCTGAAGGCGAAAGGGGGTCAAACACAGTATTAGTATGGTGTTCCTAATAATCCTTTAGGTGAGTGTGCATTCACTCACACTAAAGCTCTACCTCATCCCGCCTCTCCCGGCCCAGCCGACCCACCCGGCCCACCAACTCCTTATTGGAAACAAACCGATAAATTAAACATATTGCAGTATTAAGATGCATAACAACATTGTCATTTAGCCCTTACATACACATATGTCTATACATACATACATACATAATGTATACGCATACCTCCACCCATACTCGCATATGTACACATAAATAAATAAAAAATAAGTATCCCAGATATAAAGGGTATAAAAAACAAAAAGTCCAGTCACACATGAGGAAAACATTTACAGCAACAGTTTGCTTGTAAGTAAGTAAAGAGAGATATTTTGAAGGAACACAATGATGTGACAGATCTTAGAGACCCAGGCAGGCTATTCCAGTCTGAGGGGGCTTTGAATTTAAAGGCACGTCTACCACTCTCTTTGAAGATGTTTGGCACAATGAAGGAGAGATATTCAGTGTGTCTCAATCTATAGCTGGGTCTATATGGAATTAAATATTCCTTCAGGTAAGAAGGATAATTATAATACAGTGATACTGTCTTCTGGCTTTTGGTGATAATAAGTTCAGTGAGTCGTACATTACACAGTGGTGAGTAGTAAAAGGACATCTCAGCACAAATCTACATATATTATTGAAAGCAACATTCAATGCCTTCAAGTTTGATTCCGATGTGTTTTGATAGACAATGTCCGCATAGTCTAATATGGGAAATATTAACTGTGACACAATTCTTTGTCTAATCAGTTGAGTGAAACAGTTAAAGCTGCTGTAGGTAACTTTTGTAAAAAATATTTTTTACATATTTGTTAAAACTGTCATTATGTCCTGACAGTAGAATATGAGACAGATAATCTGTGGAAAAAAATCAAGCTCCTCTGGCTCCTCCCAGTGGTCCTATTGCCATTTGCAGAAATACACGCTCCCGGTCAGAAACTACTAATCAGAGCCAGGAGGAATGTCTTAGCAGTGTCAATCACTCTCGTGTACGTGCTGATCACACCCCTCTCTTACACAGCGCGAGCCGTCGTTCAAACTCAAGATTGCCGGCATGCTGCAGCTGTGCTTATGACGGAGAAACAACCTAAACTGCCAATTCTCGAGTGACACCTGCTCATAAAACAAAGAGGTAAAGGGAAAAAGACTGATGACGATAAACAAGCGAAAAAGAAAGAATTACACAGAGCCCATTGACTCGGTGTCAAAACTCTAGTCGCATAACATGTAGATAAAATGTCACGCACTCTGCTAAGCAACAATTGAAATCTGCTAATTCACTGGCTTGTCATGTTGCTGAAATAATGTACTAGCACACCTTATCTAGCATTATATATCGCTAGAATAATTACTTTTTTAATTACCGTTATATTAACGTTATCTTACTAGCTATTTATAACTTATAGAAAGAGTGCAACGTTATAAAGTTACATGTAGGCTATTGCAAAATACATAATGATTTGAGGACCAAGTTTGTAGTCAAAGTATGGGCAGGCCATAGTCAATGTAAAGCATATTGTTGACGTTTAGTCCCTATTAGTGAATGTGCCATATAACTTTTTATCCGCTGTTATCGGTGGCCCTGTTTACTAGCCTGCGCGTTCACGACAGGCTCCGCTGTGGAGGACGAGCTGTGGAGGGAGGGCTGTAGCGCAGCAGAGAGCAAGGGGGCGGGACCTGTCAGTTGTGCTTGTTCAAATTTTCAGGCTAAGTCAACGTTTTCTCAAAACTCCCTTCTGCAGCTTTAACCTTGACTGATATCCAAGGGGCATGTTTATCAATTACTTTAAGCACTTCTGTATAGAAAAAATCCCAAGCATCTTCAACAAAAGGAAAAAGGTTAAACCTGTTCCAATTTATATCTAATAAATCTTGGATAAAAAACTCAGTGTTAAAATGTTTACTCTGCCTTACCCTGATCACCCTGGGTGGTAGGCGTGGTATTATAATTTTCCATACACAGAAAACCATGGAATGATCACTAAAGCAATCGGGTATAACACCAGTTTCAGTAATTCTGTTAGAGTGGGTGACCAAAATCCAGTCCAGCAAAGATTTGGATCTGTGGTCAACCCGAGTAGGTTCTCTGATTAGTTGAGTCAGATTTAAGCTTTCAAAATAATTTCTATCATTTAGAGATGAACGATCTAACCAGTTAATGTTAAAATCACCAAGGATAATCATCTCGTTTGAGCTACCCACAGATTTTATAGTAGTGCCTATGCAGTGTATTGACTCTGTAGGGGAGTTTGGAGGTCTGTAGATTTTCCCTATAATCAGCTGTTTATTTACGTGAAAACTAATTTTAACAAAAAGACATTCAAAGTATACAGGGTTTTCCTCAGGGGCTATAAACTCAGATAATAAATTTGAGGAGACATAAGTGGCTAACCCTCCTCCACGAGTACCCCTATCAGCTCTATACAAAATATACCCATCCAGTTTAATTTCCTCATCTGATATGTTTTTATTCAACCAGGTCTCAGACAGTGTTATAACATTTGGTTTATTATAGACCAACCAGGCCCTTAAGAGATCAATTTTATGTGGCAAGCTCCTTAGGCAAGGCAAGGCAAGGCAAGGCAAGGCAAGGCAAGTTTATTTATATAGCACATTTCATACACAATGGTAATTCAAAGTGCTTTACATAGAAAACATTCAAATCAAAATAAACATAAACCACTTATGTTCAGATGAATAACAAAAAAGCCTTTACCCATGTTGACTATTCAGGGACATAGGAAAAAGGATTAAGGGGTTTGGGGGTTGGGGGGAGAGAGCAAAAGTGAAAGAGAGCAGCATACACGCACACACCCACACACAAACGTGTGCAGACACACACGCGAACACACACAATCACAAACTGGCTAGGCCAAAACATAACAAAATACAGATACAGTTTGCTAAGTTTCTCAATAGAATTATGTGAAGTGAAAGGTTAATGTTGAGAAGAAATAAAATAAAAACATGCAGAAATAAACATTTGAGTCAAATAAACATTTGAAACTGAATCCCAGCCATTAATGGTATAAAATAGAGTAATGTATTGGCCGATATCATTATAAACAAGTAAAATAAAAACCTACAAAACCGGAAACGGCCAAAATGAGCCGAATCGGCCCGAGAGACAGGTAGCTCACTTCAATAAATGTATTGCCTTTCATGCCACAAAATAACAACAGCTACTAATACTCTAATGAGAGATAGTTGACGTGTAGTTGAAAAGTTACTTAGTAGAATGTCTAAAGTGGACTATCGAAATAAAGTGTAACCATATTTTCTTTTAAAGAAATTGCTTTTTAAGGACTACAACAAACGGCTGGTAGGGACTACACGACATTCCTCCCAAGCTATTGACATCACTAACCCTAAAATTTACATAAACTCCGCCCCCAGAACACAATTTATAGATTATAATGACAGAATATGCTAATCAATGACTAAGATAGACACATAAGCAACATAAATTCATCAACTAACATTCAGAAATGTCCTGTTGCTTCTACATGTTGTCACTTCTTCTTGAGTCTCTCCATCTTTCTCCGACTCTGGTTTGAGCATAAAAGGCTACAAGTTTTTGAAATGTTCAGTGTGTGTCTGTGTGAGGTAATCTGAGCTGCTAACACAAGGGGCCCTATTTTAACGATCTGAAACCCAAGTATCAAGCGCAAAGCGCAAGTAACTTTGTGGGCGTATCCCGGGCACTGTTGCTATTATACCGGCGGGATAAATGACTCTTGCGCTCGACGCAAATCTAAAAAGGGTTGGTCTGAAGTAGCTTCATTATTCATAGGTGTGGTTTGGGCGTAACGTGAAATAAACCAATCAGAGCGTCATATCACATTCCCTTTAAGAGCAGGCGCGCTTGTTCCATGGCGGATTGTTATTATAACGGCGGATTTGCCAGGCGCGCGCCAGGAGCGGTTCACAGCCGTCAGCCGAGGAGACCGGCGTTCTCGTCAGGGCCGTAAAAAACACAGAGAAGTGACCTTGTATGGGGACGGAGAAACCCACCCAAATTAGCTTCGGTTAAACAGGCATATAATAATTTGGGTAAATGTGTAAGCTAGATTTATGCCTATTTTTTTCACATCTTCATGGACACAACAATGATTTGCATTTAAAGGGATTTGCATTTAAAGGGACTCACCCTCAAAAAGTGACAATTTTAACATGCTATAAAAAAATATCTGTGGGTTATTTTGAGCTAAAGCTTCACATAAACACTTATTTTACATCTTGTGAAAATGGCATTATACCACCCCTTTAAGCCTTGTCTGTGAAAGCGGAGGATAAAGTGTTATTTATTAAGGTAGTGATTAATTGTAAACCTACTAATTAAATTTTAAGCTTTGGAGTTCATCCTACAACAACCGAATGGATGCAGGCGTGAAGTGTTTTTTAAAATACCTGATATTTCCTGATCATATTGCACATCACATTTACATTTATGCATTTGGCAGATGCTTCATCCACATTGCATTCACGATAGACATTTTTATCAATCACTTTCCCTGGGAATTGAGCCCATGATGTTGATGTTGCTACTGCTGTGAACTACTGTTTAAGGAACAAGAAGGCTGTATTGCTTTAAAGAAATAAAAGAAAGTAGAATGTTATTTCTCATGGTGTGTTGTTTTCTGCAGGTCGTCCATGTAGCAGAAAAACTGGCATCTTTGTGCTTCTAGGAACAGTCTGCATGATTATTTTCATCATCATGACTTCTGTGATCTGTGAGTGGTTAACATCATACTTTGAAAGTGTTGCGTTGTAAAATATTTGCATTTTAAAAAGGGAGTTATGCAAAAAATAAAACCTAATAGTGGTATGCATGTTTACAGCCTTTACATTATGCAGATTACAATATATATATATTTTTTCACAGTTTTTCATCAACAAAGAACATTCTCAGTGCTGGAGAGTTGGATGAACATTCATAGTTCCAATCAAACTTCAGTCAAACCTCAAGAAAAGAATATTGAGACCTTGATGACCAATCTTGCCTCTTCATTGAGTTCAATCACATCCAAACAAGAGGAAAACCAACAAAAGCTGGGTGAGATTACATTTTTTTATTATGTACTGTACATTTAAATACTCCGAAAGCAACACATGTGTCAGGATTGAGTTGTGTTTTGTGTTAGTTTCATTCCTGTGTGTTTGTTTCATGTGATTCAGTTCAGTTTAGTCTTAAGGTCCTTGCACACTGATTTTGAAATTCTTGTCAGAAACTTTCGTCCGTCATAAAATATTCAGATCGGGTTTGATTTTCTGTGTTTTTCGCATCCGAATCAAGCATTTTGAGAGGTGTTTTGACAATTCAGAGCCACTGAATGACGAATACGAAAAAATGCATATGAAAATTTCGGGCTCAGGACCTTCAGGTCGGCCTACGTTTACACAACAACAATATAGTAATTAAAACAGAGAAGTCCTTTGAGTTTTCTGAGACGACACCATTGTCGAAACGATCCCCATTCACAGTGATCCGTGAAAATGACTAAAAACGCTGTATTCTGCTGCCAGGCCATTAGATGGTCATCATTTTCAGTTTAACTTTTTGTTGTTTACACAGAGACCATTTTCAAAAACTTCCACTTTGAAACCCATTTTCAAAGGTTTGCGTTTTCAGGCACCCAAAATGCCGTTGTCGTGTAAACGAACTGCCAAAACGCCTAAAAAGTTTTTAGTTGAAAACTGTGTCGTGTAAACAGCCCCTCTATTACCTCCCAGTTCGTCTCCTTGGTTACTGATTATGTTCAGCTGTCTGTCATTAAGTTTCACTGTGTATTTATACTCGTTTCATTCAGGCCTTGTCCACACGAACACGGGTATTTTTATAACCGTGACTTTTTTTACGCGGTTCGCCCGTTCGTCCACACGCAAACGCAGTATCAGGTCACTGGAACCGAACATTTTTGAAAACCCCTGCCAGGGTGAGGATTTTCAGAAACGCCGGTTACAGTGTTGTCGTGTAGACAGTAAAACCGGAGTTTTTGCCTTGCGACGTCAGAGTGTGTGCCGTTATCCGCTGTGTTTGACGTCAGATTGTGCGCCGCTGGCGCTGACGGCTTCTGATTGGCCAACGTGGCTTTACGGTTAGGGTTATATCGCCGCCTGCTGGTGTGGCATGCTCTTGACGGCGCTTGATAGCGTGTTTTTGCGTTTTCATGTAGACGGAGATTTTTTCAAAAACGCAGGAGGAAAAACTCCGGTTAAAAAAATACCCGTGTCCGTGTGGACATGGCCTCAGTTCATCGTCGGTTCTCGTCTGTAGTGTGAGTAGTTTATGTGATCATTAGAGCCCAAGCCCTGAAAGGGCGAAGTCCCTATTGGTTTCCTTAGGATAATTTTTTTTCAATTTTTCTGTCAAACTTTCGGGCACTTTTGGGGCCCTTAACGTGCTCGAAAACTCTTAAAACTTTGCGCACGGGTCAGAACCCGCGGCCATCAGGGCCGGGCTGAAGCTGGTACCCGGGCGTGGCAGGGGGGCTCGACAGCGCCCCCTGGAACGGGGTCCGAAAACTTGGTCCATAAATCAAACACGCTTGCATGTAATAATATGAAACTCAGTACACATATAGATCTCATCGGTTCATATATCCTTCATACTCTTACTTTTTATCCCAGATTTAGATTAACCATTTCACTGCTGTGTGGTTTGGCCTGCATTAAAAAAGAGAATAAATGTCTTAAGTTTAAAAAAAAATTAAATACGTTTTTTTAATAAAGTAAAGGCATATAACCAGTTTAATTGTAGTGCATTGACAATAGTTTTATATAATTAGTTTATTAATTAAATTAACTTGGTCCATAAACTTGGTCTGAAAATTTGGTCCATAAATCAAACACACTTGCATGTAATAATATGAAACTCGGTACACATATAGATCTCATCGGGCCAAACAACTTTAAGCCAGCCCAACAGGAAGTCGGCTATTTTGGTCTGAATGTGGATGTTTTGCAAAACCAGCCTCTACATTTTTACTCACTCCTCTTAAGTGGTTTATTTTATTCCCACCAAACTTTTTCAACATGATGAAAATACATTAAAGACGCTAAATTGTTAACGGATATTGAATATCTCAAACGGTTTTGCTATGGCGAGGGATTATGTCAAAAAAAGAATCAGGAAACGTCTCACATCTTCTAAAAATGTCATTATACAGCATTTATTTTTATATAAAATTAAACAAACATTAGAACTAAACTCATTTCATTCTGTTTTTTTTTTTTTCAATTCAAGAAGTATGACAAAGTTTAAAACAGGCTATTTGGTGCTATTTGGTTAAACAAAAAATCATAAATGGGGCTTTACTGCCCTCTTGTTTCCAAAATTATATCAACATAGTACATAAAACTTTTTTATCAGGTAGCCTATGGCTATTGTATATAAATATATTAGGTATGTAACTTCGAGGATATGTTCCCACCGGTTAATCGGCTTCGAGGATATTTTCCCACCGGTTAATCGACGTGTGACACCAGCGATGGCTTTTAAATTGCTAATATAAAAGTGAAAGTAAAGTACGGACGTCCGCACAGGATAATGGTGGTGCTCGCAGAGTGCTCGAATGAATTCCTATGGAAGTAGAAATGAAAAAACGTTCGCTTTGTTGTTCTCGCTCCTCGCCATGGATGTCGTTATGAATGCCAGTGCAGCCGCATACTTTTAAGTGTCACTTTAAAATAAGCGCAATATCGGGCGATTGCTTGAACTGTGAGTTCAATAGCCTATTATTTTTCACGGAAAACACAACAACAAAAGAGTACAATAACAGATTCGCTTAAATAGGCGCTTTTACACAAAATATTCCGTCATCATCTTTTCAGTCAGCTCTTCACTCTCGTGACTAATGAAATTTGACACCGGTTGCTGATCTTTGCTGCCTGCAACTTTCGTTCAGCTCACAATTTAGTAAGCAAACACGTTCAGGTTTTAATTGTAGTGACTAAATGATTTTATTAACACACACACACACACACACACATCAAATTGACGGTGGGGGACAACAATTGTATATTTAAATCTGCATATTGTAATATCTGCAGGGCACCCCTAGTCTAGTCTTATTAAATGTATGCTTCATCTTTCATTTTTAATTTGTAAATTTGATCAATAAATTCAATTATTTAGAATAATAAGACACTATGGCTGTTACCCTATGTAGGGCTGATCAAATTAAATCGTTTACACTGAAAAATAACAATGCATTAAATAATGTTACGAGATTGTTTTAAATATGAGTTAATTAACAATCGTTGGAAAGAATGATACTTTTAAACATATCACTAAACCGTCATTAGGTGTCGCCAGGCGACCGTCTTAATGAGTGAGTCATTGATTCATTCGTTCAAACAATTCGTTCGAACGACTGAATCATTCATGAATGAGACAGATGTTTATGGATTGGTCATTGAATTGAGTCAACCGATTCGTTCAAAATGCTGAATCATTCAGTAATGAGAACGCGTTGCTGTGAGATGCTCGATGGTTCTGCTGTGATCTTTGTTTAACTATTTTCGCTGCTGAAACAGAAAAAAAGTCAATATTGCATCTAAAATGTAAGTGTCTTGACTTGTGTGTGTGTGTGTGTGTGTGTGCACGTGTGTGTGTGTGTGTGTGCGCGTGTGTGTGTGTGATTGTGTCTGTTACAGTGACGAGTTTAACCCTTGTTAAAGTTTAAGGCCTTGTCTTTTTGGATATATCTTTTTTTTATTACAAAATATGCATACAACCCATATATTTTAAATGCATTGTTTGCTTTAAATTAAATTAAGATTGTATGCTTGGTAATTGAACCTGAATGAATTTAAAATAAATGTGCTATATTTCAGATCAATATTATATTTGTTTTCCTTAAAATTTTAACTAACACTAACTTTATTCTCATCTGAATTATAAATAATTTATTTCTGTATAAAATAAAAACTTTTTTTTTCTTTTTTAATCAATGTAGAATGTGTAACTGAAAAATAAACAGATTAGTGCTCTGTTTGAGGACAAGAAATGAAAACCAATGCAATATGATGAATGTCCAAAAGATGGCACCCACAGACCGTTTTTAAATGAGGTTGGATAAATATTGTTTTGCTTTTAAACTGTGTGTGTGTTTAAGTGATTTTGGTTGGGTGACAGTTTTAGGTTACAGTTTGACAAGAGTTTATAGTTTGACAAAAACACAATGTTGTGTTTTATTGCGAGTGTACACAAATATTAGTAAACACTTTGCAGTTTGAATAATGTCCTGTATGAACAAAAGGACGGAGTATGTTTTTATGTCTCCATTGTTCAATCACACCTCACACACACACACACACACACACACACACACACACACACACACACACACATTATTATTCTAATCAGATCAGGCAAGTAATATTCTGTCTTGAATATATTGTCTTGAATTAAAAAATATATATGTATAAATATATATTTATGTATGTATATGTTTATATATATATATATATATATATATATATATATATACTGTATATATATATATATATATATAAATATAGCTGCGAGCAGCGATGAAAGGGCCAAAGCCGGCGGCACCACCACCCCGGTGCCTTTAGGTAATTAAAGGCACTGGGGTTGCGGTGCCACCGGCTTGGGCCAGTCATCGATGCTCGCAGCTATATTTCTCTGTGTCATCTATGTATTATCTTAATGTTTATTAAAGAAAGTTTGCATTGATTTTCATCATCTTCATTCTGTGAACTACAACATCTGTTGCTGACAACATGAATATGATCATCTAAATATAGAGAATTTTTTGTTCAACCAGGACACAACTGTGTATTTCTGACTGTAATAGCAGGACTCATTTTACTTTTTCACAGAGCGCCAGCAGGGTCTGTCACACACTGAAGTGAAGAGTTTGATGAACAGTTTGAGTTCTGCTGTATCAGCGCTGACATCCAAACTGAATGACGCAGGTCTGCAAAATCTGATCATTTAAAGAAGAAACCATAAGAAATACTTTTAAGAGCAAACTTTCATATTCTTGATCGTTTATCAATCATATATATATATATATATTCCTTTCACAGTTGGCAACCAGGTGCAGAAACAGAATGAAACACAAAAAATATTAGACTATTTAAAAACCGCTGTTACATCTCTACAGTCTGATCTACAAAACAAGCAACGTGACTTTGGTAAGACAGAGGCAAAATTAATATGAATTTTACATTTAATAAGTTATTATTTAAGTTATTTCATGTGTTAATAAGACCTTATAGTGAACATGTAATTTTCTTCTTATGCTCTCTTTTAAAATATCTCATATAACATTCACTGTATCTGGTTATGATACTTTGGGCCACATTCAAATCTCAGCATGTTTTCTTATTGGCGACCCCACCGGTCACAATTGTGACCGCAGCTTTTTTCTTATTTCTGGAAGCTCTAAAAATGTTTTTATTGACTTTGGGCAAGAAATTCAACTTTTAAATGACAAAATAGATTGTCTTGATTAAAATCAATTAATGTCATGTGACTAGTGTGAAAGGTCACATGACCAGATCAGTTCACTTCCTGCTTGCACATCTAGAAGAAGATGTCTTCCTCAGACTACTACAAAAAGTAGTATATAAAACATCTTAATTTACAAATAGAACTATCATATTTTGTACATATAATCTTTAAAGGGTCTACTACTGATATATTTTGAGAATTATAATTATACTAAGACTTGTAAATTTGTTTACGGTCACAATTGTGACCGGTAGTATAACACAGTGCTTCAATTGAAAACAGAGGTATTGGCTGGTATTGGCAGGTTCTGGCAATCCTACACTGAACATGCCACACCTGTGAGGGGGATGGATGATCTTGGCAAAAGAGAAGTGCTCACTAACACAGATTTAGACAGATTTGTGAAGAATATTTGAGAGAAATAGGCCTTTTGTGTACATAGAAAAGGTCTTAGATCTTTGAGTTCAGCTCATGAAAAATGGGGGCAAAAACAAAAGTATTGCGTTTATAATTTTGTTCAGTGTAGTGATGAGTGTCCCAGAAACGGTCAATGTGCTGGACCTTCTTGACGTACGTGACCCCCTTCCCCCCACCCCAAATTGAAAGTGACTGTGATAGTGATGGCTCAGATAGGGAGTACCAGGGTGAAACAGCCCATTTGCCAAGTAGACTATTGAATGGCGATGCAGAGGTGAATTATCTGGAGGATTGGGCAGATGTTCATGAGAACCAATTGGTGTGCTCCACACATGACCACAAACAACCCTTTCTACAATGTACGGCCCATCTGCAGTGCACTGAATGAGTGAACACACATCTCCCTGAAACTGGCCTAGGACAGGGCCCAAGTGTAGTCATGGTCTAGGCCATACGGGTCTAGCCGAACAAGCAGAAGTCCAGGGTGTAACTTTGTACATGACAACCTTTTCACCTCACTAAGCCTTCTTCACGAAATGACAAAACGAGATATTGGATGTCTTTGGAATGAATTGTGTCAATAGGTCTAATTGAAGAATTTGAATGAATTCTGACTATGTTGTTTCCCACCGGTCACTATTGTGACCGAGTATAAAACCTAATATTTCACTAACTTAACCAACATAAAATCAAAAAAGGCATAATGTTTGAGTGTTAGGGAGGTCTAAGGAGTAAAATGCATGTACTCAAGTTGCAAGAAAAAATTTGGGATTAAACGGGTTAACACTGAATATATTCCCAAGAATTTAAATTGCAAGGATTGATATAGGGGACAATATTAATATTTAAAGTTCGATGAAGTGCATAAAGTACAAAGAGAGGTTAGCATGTACTATCAATGAACAATACTTCTAAAGCATTTATTAATCTTAGTTAATATTAATCATTGTTAACATTAGTTAACTAATGTTAACATTAGTTAATTCACTGTGAACTAACATGAATATTAATATTTTTATTAAGCAACACTTAAGGTGAAGTAAGCAATTTCTGAGAAATGCTGCTAAAAGTAGATTATACAGAGCACCACAACACACTTGTAGGGGGTGTGTCCACTAATAATGGGGTAGGAGAGAGAGTTAGCCAACCAGCAGTAGGGGGTGTGTCCACTCATGATGGGGGAGGAGAGAGAGTTAGCCAACCAGCAGTAGGGGGTGTGTCCACTCATGATGGGGAAGGAGAGAGTGAGCCAATCAGTAGTAAGGGGTGTATCCACTCATAATGGGGGAGGAGAGAGAGTGAGCCAATCAGCAGTAGGGGGCGTGTCCACTCATGATGGGGAAGGAGAGAGTGAGCCAATCAGTAGTAAGGGGTGTATTCACTCATAATGGGGGAGGAGAGAAAGTGAGCCAATCAGCAGTAGGGGGCATGTTCAGTCATAATGGGGGAGGAGGAGAGAGAGAGAGCCAATCAGCAGTAGGGGGCGTGTCCACTCATAATGGGGGAGGAGGGAGAGAGAGCCAATCAGCAGTAGGGGGCGTGTCCACTCATAATGGGGGATTAGGAGAGAGAGAGCCAATCAGCAGTAGGGGGCATGTCCACTCATAATGGGGGAGGAGGAGAGAGAGAGAGACAATCAGCAGTAGGCGGCGTGTCAAGTCAAGTCAAGTCACCTTTATTTATATAGCGCTTTTTACAATACAGATTGTATCAAAGCAGCTTCACATTGATAACATGAAAATAATACAACAAAGTTTGTGGCTAGAAGAAAATTGCGTCATCATCCACCTTAGGTAGATCAATAATATTGTTGAATATTTAAATGTCCCCAACTAAGCAAGCCAAAAACCAAGGCAACAGTGGCAAAGAACCAAAACTCCATCAGGTGACAGAATGGAGAAAAAAACCTTAGGAGAACCCAGGCTCAGTCGGGGGCCAGATCTCCTCTGGCCAACGAGCGAACAGTGTATGATTATGATTCAGGCAGCATTACAGGTCAGAAGTCAGATTGGATCAGAACATTCAGAATATTATCCAGTTCCATCTGGTTGGAATTCGGAGTCATCACGCCGGTATGGAGACGAGTTTGTTGAGGACACGTGTCCACTCATAATGGGGGAGGAGGAGAGAGAGAGAGAGAGCCAATCAGCAGTAGGGGGTGTGTCCACTCATAATGGGGGAGGAGGAGAGAGAGAGAGCCAATCAGCAGTAGGTGGCGTGTCCACTCATAATGGGGGAGGAGGAGAGAGAGAGAGAGCCAATCAGCAGTAGGGGGTGTGTCCACTCATAATGGGGGAGGAGGAGAGAGAGAGAGCCAATCAGCAGTAGGCGGCGTGTCCACTCATAATGGGGGAGGAGGAGAGAGAGAGAGAGCCAATCAGCAGTAGGGGGTGTGTCCACTCATAATGGGGGAGGAGGAGAGAGAGAGAGCCAATCAGCAGTAGGCGGCGTGTCCACTCATAATGGGGGAGGAGGAGAGAGAGAGAGAGCCAATCAGCAGTAGGGGGTGTGTCCACTCATGATGGGGGAGGAGAGAGAGCAAGAGGGGGATTAGAAGAAAGACTGTAGACAGAGAGATGGCTGAGAGACATTAAAAAAGAGAAAAACTGGAAAATCACTGGAAAAATAAGGGTTATGAACTTATGATCAGGCAAGAGCTTTAGGTCCTGCGTTAATATTAGAGACGTTAGAGAGCAGGAAGGCCTGAAAATGGATGGCGAGGCTGCGTTGTTTCTGCTCCATCTGCAATAATGCTTTGCTTCAGCTATGATAAAGAGACATTTACTCTTGCACTGCGTGCTGCGCGTGCATTTTGGGGGCGGAGCAATAAATAGAAGAGTGTGTTTGTTTGGGTTGATTTCAAATATCAACAGTTTCTCAGAAATCACTTACTGCACCTTTTTACAAAGGTTAAATGCTGTAAAAGTAAAAAATATATTTACTGTTTACATTAATGTTAACAAATCAGATGTTTAATGAACACAGTATGTTATGGAAGCTTCTTTTCCGCCACAGAATAAAACATTTTTTGAAAGATAATTGCGACTTTATTTCTCGCAATTCTGACTTTGAGATATAAAGTCAGAATTGCAAGATATAAACTCGTAATTGCGAGAAATAAAGTCGCAATTATCTTTCAAAAAATGTTTTATTCTGTGGCGGAAACAAGCTTCCATAGTATGCTAAGTTATTGTCTAAGACAAAACTGATATGAGCAGATGTTGATTATGTATTTTTATACTTTCTCATTCACTAAGCCATTATTGCTATGCTCACATTGATCTTGCTGATCCAGTATATTGTATTTATGGCTTTTGTCTCATGTTTAAGAGTCTCTGTCGAGCTCAATGAGTGTCCTGAAGAGTTCAGTGTCAGATCTCTCTTCATCTGTCGCATCGCTTTCTTCTCAACTATCAGTCAGTGAGTAGACACTACATTACATGTGCAATACATACAGCACTCCATTACACTACAAACAGGGCGTGAATTATGGAGTGGGGTGTTTGAAACCCCCAAAGGACACCAAAACAAAAGTATTTAGCATTAAGTCAACAGGTCATGCTAGTATTACATAAGTCTACTATATTCAACATCTAAATGCAACATCTACTTCTTTCCCACAGTGCGGCAGCAGGATATGAAGAGTTTGACTGACAGTTTGAATTCTGCAGTATCAACGTTGACATCCAAACTGAATGATGCAGGTGTTGAAATCATTTAATAATCTCACATATGTATTATCTGTGTATTGAGGAAGATAATTCTTTTAACTGCAACCTTTTTTTCTCCCAGTTAAAACGCAGGACCAGAAACAGACTGAAACCGAACGATCGCTGGACAGTTTGAAGTCCTCCATACAGTCTGACCAACAGAGCAAACAGCGGGACTTCGGTGAGTCAGAAACATACAAAAAACATAAAAGTTTATATGAAGTTATAGGCTTGCATAATATAATTCAAGCCCGTCTCAATAAAAACATCACTGAAACAACATTGCAATATATCATATTTATGTCTTTCATCTCGTGTTACAGAGTCTCTGTCGAGCTCAATGAGTGTCCTGAAGAGTTCAGTGTCAGATCTCACTTCATCTGTCGCATCTCTGTCCTCTAAACAACAGATCTCTGGTGAGTCGAGTGCAATATTGCAATAACTGCATTATGAATGTATAACTGAATCTATTGAATTGATATCTTTTGTTAGGCATGATTTCAGAAATATATAATCATAATTGTTGATTTCATGGACCTGCATGCTGATGCTGACATTATTCTTTACATTGGAAATAATTGGATTGAAATGAAATTCACAGGACACTGACTGCAGAAAGTCTAACAAGGTCTGGTGTGTTTTCTTGTGTTCTAGAGGACAGAGTCATGAACGCTCTGAAGGATCTGAAATCTAACATGAGAAACAAAACAGCAGGTACTGCATCCACACTCTTAACAATAAAGCTTCCAAAAGAAGGTTTTCGCAGCGATTCCATAGAAGAAATATTTTTAGTTCCTCAAAGAACCTTTCAGTGAATATTCTTAAAAGGCTCATTTGTAAAACATTGTAAAAATCTATGAAGAACCTTTTGTGGAATGGAAAGATTCCATGCATGTTAAAGGTTCTTCATAGAACCTTAGATGCCTATAAGCCTTTAAATTTAAGAGTGTAGTGCTACTTTAATATATCGGCCAAATTTTCTTATCGAGCCGATAACGCTAACATTATAAATGGTCATATATCCCAAATTAATTTAATGATGTCTTTACTACCTTTCTGGGCCTTGAAAGTGGTAGTTGCATAGACTGTCAATGTAGATGTCAGATTTCATTAAAAAGATCTTCATTTGTGTTCTGAAGGTGAATGAAAGTCTTATGGGTTTGGAATGACATGAGTGTGAGTTTTTAATGACCGACCGGTCTTTCATTTTCGGGTGAACTGACCCTTTAAATCTGCTCTTATTTAGCATCTTTTCTCTCTCTCTCTCTCTCTCTCTCTCTCACGCAGACGTCCCTGTAACCTGTAAATCTGGCTGGATATTGTTCAAAAGCAGCTGTTTCTTGTTCTCTAATAATAAACTCAGCTGGACTGAAGCACGAGATTACTGCAAAACACAGGGGGCGTTACTCCTCAAAATAGAAGAGGACGACGAGGAGTGGGTGTGTAACGTTCATGGATGCGCATAACATAGCATTTTGATTTTACTTTCTTTTCTTTTTTAAAAATCAGTTTCTATCTCCCCCTAGGCATTTCTAAACAAACATACCATACCCGAGCACTACTGGGTCGGTCTAACGGATCAGGACACAGGCCAGTGGAGATGGGCGGATGACACTCCTTACACAATGAACAAAGAGTGAGCCGATTCGATTTATTGAGACACCTTCAACATTTCTCACATTATCACAGTTTATTCGCTATAGTTAGTTACATAATGTGTTCAGAGACAGGGGTTCTGGTGATAATACGGGCAGCAGAGTTTTGGACCAGTTGAAGTTTATGAATGGACTTGTGAGATCGACCAGAGAGAAGGGAGTTACAGTAATCAAAACGCTGATTTCACGCAGTTGAAAACTGTACAACTTCAGTGGATATTAGATTCAATTCTTTAATTGGATATTATATTTCCTGAGAATAGAACCAAGGGGAAGTAGATAAATTATAAAAAGGAGCGGACCCAGGACTGATCCCTGGGGAACACCACTGGTGACTGGGGAGGGTTGTGATCGAACATTTTTAAGTTGTACAAACTGAAGTTGTACAGTTTAGAGGAACAGTTTAGAAAATGGTAATAAAATATGACAAGAACTCAGAGTTATCAAATCAAAATTAAATTTAACTACACAATTAGATAATACCAGTTTAGCTCAAACAATTACTAAGCAATGATTCATGTTGTTCAGTCTGTGGTGTAAAAAGGTGCATTAGCAATTAAAGAAAAAACACTTAAGAAAACATGATCAGGTCAAAGTGTCTGAATAATTTTTGGTCCCAAATTTTTAATTTTTTTTACTGGTAGTCCATTTTATGAAGAATGTTTGGCCATAATATGTCACAGTTTACCTTTATTCCGCTATCCTCACTTACATAATTTGACTATAGTGTCCTGCACCCACTAGAAAAAAATATATAAAAAATTGTATTTGGTGTCTGAATAATTTTTGGTTTGACAGTATACCTTTTAGAGGTTTAATAACAAATTTTGGCATTACATTTACATGTTTATCCCTAAATATGATCTAATATCCATTTTATTTTCCAAGGCGTAAATTAGATATTTTCTGTGAAGATTTTCTTAGCTGACACTGTGGTCCTTGGTGATTCATATAATGCAAGTCAATGGCTGTCGTCACTTTAAGAGTTAAAAAAACAACAACACACAGGCAAAACAAAAATAATACCTGTGGCTCCTGATGATTCATTGAGGTCTTATAAAGTGAAACAATCGGTCTGTGCAAGAAACTGAACATTATTTACAATTAATGTGGAAGATGTTTTTTGTAGAGATGCCCCTGAAACCATTAGTTATATATGCAGATGGAATGATATGACATTTGTTGGTTGTCATTATTCACAGACGCTGGGATCCCGGGCAGCCGAATGACTGGAAAGAACACGGACTGGGAGAGGAAGGAGAGGATTGTGGGCATTTTAGAAAAAGTGGGAAACTAAATGACAGCCACTGCTCCTGCAAAATTAAATTCATTTGCAGAGTGTAATTCTGAATCTGAAAAGAGCTGTGGTGAAGGGCCTATGGAGTGTTTTCCCAAACTCTGTTTGTTCCGTTTTATTTTTCTGGATTCCATTTTTTTACCCGTTAGAATTTTTTGGACTTCATTTGAATGGTTTAATAAAAAAATTATAATCAAAAAGCATGTCTAATTAATTTAAATCATTTAACAACAATTTATTAAAAGTTTAACAAAAAATGACATGTTTAGGGCCCTATGAAATGTGTTTTATTTTTTTTAACCAAATTCTGTTTTAAGATTCCGTTTTAATGGTTTATTTAAATTCTAATAATCAAACAGCATGTCTAATTAAATTAATTCATAAATACAAATTATTAATTGAAAAAAATATATATGTATGTAATTTTTTTCAGAAATTTCCCAGTAGCACCTCAATGCAGTACATGAGATCCACGGGGAGGAGTCGGATCAAGATCCAAGGGGTGTAGATGGGGAGGATTAGGGGATGGGTTTAGGGATCAGGGGGTGGAGATGGGTAGGTTTAGGTATATGTAAGGTGGGAGGAGTTGGATCTGGATCCGACTCCTCCCCGTGGATTTCATGTTCTGCAGTGAGGACCATCTCAAATTTAAATTCTTAAACATTCCTTAAACTTTGAAAGAAATATACAGCTCACAATATTATCTGCATTAAGCTGAAATCTTAAAAAGAGGTCTGATGAGTATTTTCATGCATCTAAAAGTGGAGACATGATTATTCAGGGTGGACTGAAACGTTATGCTCCTAATAGCATCTGATTGCTTCTGTTCATTTGTGCATTCTGTCTTTATTTGTCTAGCAACTCTTATTAAATTATCCTTAGAACAGTTACAGATCAAGTTTTATGTATGAATTACTCTCGCTTCTCTAATTCAGTATATTTTTACATGTTTGAAAGTCCAAGTTCAGCACAAATGCAGTGTTTTGCTCACTCAGCTAAATGATTTTAGTCTTTCATTAGAAGAGCTATTTTAAATGCTAAAAAGGAAATTCCCCAGAGCCTTCAGACAGAATTAAGACGCACAAGTAAAAAGACCAAATAGCAAGTTAAATGAGACTAAATGAAAACCTAGATCTTCTGGGGGTGGGTGAGGATGTCTTGTAAAACTGGCTATTATTTAAAAATGACCATTAAATTGCATGTTGGCAAATCAACTAATTGCATTCTGTAAAGTAGACATGACAAAAGCGTCATTAAACCTGTCATGAGGAAAATGTATATGCAAAAAAATTAAAATATTTAGCATTAAATGTTTTCCTGTGTGTGTCTTCCCAGACTGAATTCCTCAGAATGTGGAAGTGAATTTTTTTTTTAAGAAACACAAATTATTAATACATGAGGTGGTGTTTTTAATTTCAACTACAAGCAGCAAGTGACTTAAATGTACTCTCATTTTATGGTCCCTTTTTATAGAAAATGGATTGTTCTGAAGAATACATTAAAATGGAGATGGACTGTGAACCAAAGAAATCATTTCGGAGAGGTTTGGAAGATTTACAAGATCACATTCAGTTGGAGAAACTTATCTTAAAGCATTCAATTTGGCTTTTACAGCATGAGTGAAATGTAAAATGTTTAGCACTTACATTAATTTTAATGTTGACAGACTTTGAAAAATCTTGTGAGTATTCACTCTAATTGCTAGTTCAGGTTTGGCTGAAGGCTGCAGTTTGTCCAGTCAGAACAATGATGTCTCACTCAGGTTATATTCCAAATCGTAGGTTTATTAAATGTGCATAGATGTGTGGTTAGTGTGATGCACGCACACGCACAATCGATAAAACTCCTCCGATTTGGGCTAGTACCCTATATTTCACTCTACAACTATATACAATATTCAGCCGATCTCCTTTTCCCTTTATTATCCGTCTACTCTTTTCCCCTTCACTTCGCGAACTCCGGTGGAAAGTTTGGAACAGTCCATTTCTCGCTGAATGACAGGGGTGACTGGGAGAGTCCATGTGCCAAAGGGGAGCACTTTCTACAGCCGCCCCCAAATTCACAGTGTGAATTTGCCAACATAAGTGACTTTGCTACATTAAATTCAAGGCTAGTCGGGTAGAGAGGGCAGACAAATAATTTTGGCTACAGGTCGGGTGTAAGTTTTGCTGTTAACCTGTATTTCTGCAGATCTGACTCTCTTGTCCAACCCAGGAAAGACCTGAACAATTATCCCTACAGGCCAAAGAGCGCGGGGCAGTCGTTGGTCCACGATCATGACTGTGTCACCGACCTGCAGGTCAGCTTCTTCAGTCCTCCATTTCTGTCTGATTTGGAGGTTGGGTAGGTAGTGCTGAATAAAGTGCCTCCAAAAGTGGTCAGCCAAGAGCTGGCTATGTCTCCATCTCTTACGGCTCAGGAGTTCAGAGTTTTGGTATACCACTTGCGGTAATGAGGCATCTCGCCGCCCCATCAACAAGATGTTTGGAGTAACTGGATCTGGATCCGCGATGTCCGAAGAAGTGTAGCCAATGGGTTTGGAGTTGAGGATTCCTTCTATTTCTATGAAGACAGTTCTCAGCACTTCTTCTGTGACTGTCTGGCTGCCAATGGTGACGTGAACTGCAGCCTTTAAAGAACGAATTTCTCTCTCCCTACATCCACCGAAATGGGGTGAATTGGGTGGACAATAATTTGTCTTATTTGTTGGCTGGCGAGTTGGGCTTGAAGCTCAGGATAAAGGGCGATAAATTACTCTTTCAGTTCCCTTTCTCCTCCTTTAAAGTTGGTGCCTTGGTCGGACAGGAGCTCAAAGGGTTTACCACGCCTGGAGATGAATCGTCGTAAAGCCATCAAGAAGGAATCTGTGTCAATGCTGGTGAGTATGTCAATGTGGACTGCACGGGAAGTCATGCATTTGAAGATGATTCCCCATCTTTTCTCATTCCTGCGTCCCACCTTTATAGTGTAAGGTCCAAAGCAGTCCACACCTGTTGAATAGAAGACAGGTTGATGGATCCTCAATCTGGCAGGGGGGAGGTCCGCCATTTTTGGTGGATGTGGTTGTCCCCGCCATCTCTGACACTCTGCACATTGTCGTTGATGGTTTCTGACTGCAGCCCGTCCCCGTATCACCCAGTATTTCCTCCGAAGTTCAGCAAACACCCTATCTGGTCCTGGGTGATGTAGCCGATCGTCATAGTCCTTGATTACCGGTTTGGTAGTTGGATGAGACGAGTCGAGGACAATAGGATGTATTGTATCTTCCTCTAGCTGGCTGATCTGACGGAGACGACCGCCAACGCGTATGAGTTTGGTGTCCTCATCAAATTCCGGGGCTAAGCACAGCAAGCGACTATTTTTTGGCAAGGATTTACCTGCTCTGAGGAAGGACAGTTCGTCTGGAAATGAGTCAGTTTGGCTCTGATGGAGTACTGCAATTTCTGCCTCTTTGTAGTCATCTGCTGTTGGGATATCGGTGGCCGCCCCGTTGGCATGCTGGATGTAAGCCTTCAGTAACTCTGGAAGTGTATGGTATTTCTGTGGATTGGGAGTAGGTGGAGTCGAGATTGATAGGACAATGAAGATTGGCCTTCTCAGTTCACTGTCCTGATCAATGGTCGTAAATGGTGGCATCTCCGGCCAGTGGTCAGTTGTCTGTCTGAGGAATTTTGGCCCCTTATTCCATCTGCTTTCCTGGCCTATGTCACACAGCAGTTTTCCTTTGTGATGTCATCGGCAGGGTTCTCCTTTGATGGCACGTATCTCCAGTTATCAGACTCCGTGAGTTCTTGGATTTCTGACACTCTGGTGCCTACGAACACTTTAAAACGACATGAGTGTGACAGCAGCCAGGTAAGGACAGTTGTGGAGTCAGACCACAGAGTAACACTGTGGATGGGCAAAGTTAGCTGCGCATAACTCCAACCGTGGAATGGTTTGCTGCTTTTTTGGGGCTACCCGAGATCTACTGGTTACAAAGGCTACTTCCACTCTACCTTCCAAGTTTTCAGTTGGTAAGTAGGCCACGGAACCGTAGGCTCGCTCTGAAGCGTCACAGAAAATGTGGATCTGCCTCATGCTGGTAGGCTGATCCAGTTCTTTATTGCAGTAAGCCCTCGGCAAAACAACGTGCTGTAAACCATCCAGCTCACTCTCCCATGCTTTCCACAAGTTCAACAGATTCTCAGGCAGACGGGGATCATCCCACTCTCTTTTCTTGTCCCATAACTTCTGTACGATCACCTTGGCCCGTGTTGTGAATGGCACAATATAGCCTATGGGGTCATACTGGCTAGCGAGGATATGGTATATGCTCCGCATAGTTGGAAGTGGGTGGTCTGTCCGCCGCTGCTTTTAGGAGAGTGTGTCTGATGAGCAAGGCCAGTGTAACCCAAGAGTTGACTCTTGTGCATCTTGGTGACCTTCGCTGAGCCACTAGATGCTGCTTTGTGATCGAGCCTCAACTGGCAGGTGGCTGATGACCGATGGATCATTGCTCGCCCACTGTCTTAGGTCAAAGCCTCCGGAACATAAGAGACTGCAGAGTCTGTCTACAAGACCTTTCGCTGTCTCACTTGAGGTGAAGCTCTGAAGGCAGTTGTCAACGTAGAAAGATTTCTCTACTGAGAACTGTGTGTCTTCAGACTCACTGTGATCCAGGACGTGCTTCTGTAACGCGTATGTTGCGCAGCAAGGACTGCACGTTGTTCCGAATGGAAGTACTTGCCATTCAAACACGTCTGGTGCCTTGTCTCTCTGAAGATTTCTCCAAATAAATCTCAGTAGTGGTTTGTCCTCAGGCAAAAGGCATACCTGGTGGAACATCCCACGAATGTCACTACTAATGGCGATGGAATGTTCTCTGAATCGCAGAAGAACTGACAGAAGAGAAGGACTGAGTGGTGGACCAGGGAGCAAGTACTCGTTCAGGTTGTGGCCTTGGTAAGCAAACGAACAGTTGAAGACAACCCTTTTCTTTCCATTATGCTCCACCAAATGATGTGGAATGTAACAGCTCTCTTTAGAACAGTCCACCTGCTCAGGAGTGAGTTTTGTA